CAACTACCTAATAAGCTTGCTCCTCATTCAGATACAATGCCATCTATACCTTACCTAAGCCCTATGCTCCTGGAAAAGAGTGTTGATTAAGAAATTCCCTTAACCTTTCCCCACCCCTGAAATTCTTCCAGCCTTTTCTGTTTTATGAAATGGTTACACAAAACAAACAAAAATAACCAAATTAAAAAACACTTTCCCATATGACTTATTAAAAAAAGCTCTCTGCCCATTCTCTCAGGATTTTCATAAGAATTGCACATGACTCCCTTATTTACTGGGGGTCAAGACCAAACACAAACCAATCCCCTTTGCTGGAACCTGCTGAAATATCAGATACAGATGGAGAGGGAGGAACCTAGAAGTCCCATTTGATCAAAGTCCTTTCTGTGTCCCATTGTTTCAAGATAGTCCATTATACATTTGTTTACTAAATATTACCTCTTTTTATCTCCTTGTGAATTGCCTTACTGACCCCTTCTTAGTTCTGAATGACATATATTCCTCATTTTGCCTGTCTTTAGAATTTTCATGCTTATATAAATTCTCCATGTCTATGTATTAAAATTTGATTTTCTCCTGTTAATCTGTTATTTCATTTGAACAGAAGAACTAAGAAGGAACGTTTCCCAGTCCATAACACAATTTATATTTAGTTTGTATTATATTATTATAAGAACAGGTGAAAAAAAAACAGAAGAGGTGAAACCACAAGTCCTGGGTTCTAGTTCCAGATCTCTCTGTGCTCTGTGTGTTTTTGACTTGTCTAGACCTCAGTTTCTTCATCTTTAAATAAGAATGTTGGACCCGCTAATCTTTAAGATTTTAACATTGTATGTTTGTTGAAAGATTACATTGCAATTATTTTTAGTTCAATTTATGGACACTACATGACTCAAGCTTAGGACATGTCTTTTATTATTCATATCATTCTCTTGGTTTAAAGTAGTTGTTACATAATGCTTAGCAGTTAAAAGAGTTAGTTTTAATACATTTGTAAAATTTTAAGGTAGTACAGGCTGTTTTAGTACAATGCTTTTAATTCTATAAATGTTTATCAAATAATAAACAACTGATTTTTCTGGTAAATCCAACATGTGGTTGTGATTTATATCTTCTTTTGGAAATTAAATTCAAATTATTCAAATAAATTAAACATTTTAGGATACTCAATGTCTATAATAAAATATTATTTTTTAATCTCATTTGGAAAAACTAAGTGTTGAGAAAATTCTTTATTTTCCTAATGAGAAGCAGATCCATATAATTACAGTTAATAGAAAACCAATTACAGTAGAATTTGATTATTTTTAAGTACCATTCTACTTTTCCATTCTTCTACTCTGATGATGAAGGTGATGAAAAATTTAAAAATAATAGATATTAAATTAGTAAGTAGAGATAATTTAAAGAAACATCTAAATCCCAGAAAGGCTGTCATTCATGGAAAAGTTAATGCCAGTTTGAAAGTGGGGACTGCCTAATAGGATGTCAATAAACTCAAAGTCATTTTCCAGTCTTTTGGCCTAATAATTACTGCTAAGTAAAACAATGTGCCTGGCACTGTGCTATATGCTTTACTTCCATTGTGTCACTTATTCCTCACAACCCCCATATGAGACAGGTCTTATTATTATTATTCTTATGTTACAGATGAGAACACTGGTTCAGGGAGGTTGCGTGAATTAACTGCCTGAATTGGAGAGCCACTAAATGGCAGTGTCAATATTCAATGTCAGAATCTGTCTGACTCCAGAGTCCAGACTCTTAACTACAATGCTACAATGCCCAATTCTCTAGGAGAATAAAGAAAACAATGTAAAAAGAATGATCTGGATTTTAGTTTTATATTTTAATTCATACAGCAGCACTGAGACAAGCTTCTAGAACTGTACTTATGGGGTGTGTGATGCTAGAAAGTCATAAAAGGAGACATCTGACCATTTGAAAATAGCCTTACATTACATCTTTTACAAGGTTTGGTTTAGTATACACATGGCACATGAAAGAAGAGCACTGTTTTTACTTGGTAAGTAATATGTAGTGAAGAACTAATATAGCAGAAGTATAATGTCTAGTTATCATTAAGTTTTTGCTCAGACTCCTATGAAAAGTCAATTTAACAGAACACTTTGGTGTATATGGCATTAACTCTTAATGATTTGCCTTAATAAAGTATTAAATTGAAATCAGTTTGACCAGCCCATGTGTTGATGTAATTGAGCAGAAACTTAAAAATATTTTTCATTTATGAAACTTGTCACACACCATTAAAAATATAGGTGTATAGAATTTCTTGAAAATATATCATGAATAGACTTTAGGGCTTTGCTTTCATTGTGTAAAGTGTCTGTGGTTTTCATATAGGTTTTGTATGTGGATTTCAATGTAGTATAGAAGTTAAGAGGCAAGGCTCTGGAAATAATACCACCAGTTTCTAGTTCTCTGACCTTGGGCAAGTTACTTAACTTCTCAGTGCCTATTTCTCATTTGGAAAATGGGAACCATAAAGTTACCGTCATGATATAATACACGCTAAGTGTCTGGAACAATTCTTGCCACGTGATAATTGCTTCATAAATTTAAGTCTTCATCATCAAACTACTTTGTGGATAAGAATGATAGAGATCTGAGTTAAAATATAGAAATGAATATGCTCTAATGACAACTGTTGGGGGAGGAAGAAATTTTATTCTACCCTTCTAGGTTCTTTTGGCTGGTCTAATAATTAAGTCTACATGAGACTGATTAACAAGAGAAGATAATGAGATTTAATTAATTAGGTATGTATGGGAACCCCACCTACATGAAAGGTTCAGAGACAGAAGGGAAAACAAGGTGTATGATATTCTGAACTAAAGGAGAGAGAGGTAAGATGCCCTGAAGCTTCAGAGGGGCAGAGGGTAATTTGCAGGATGACAAAAAGAGCAGATGTTCAGTAATTAGACGTTTGCCCTGCCCCATACATAGGTCATAAAAAGTTATTTCTGGTGATAATTCGTATTATGGGCTAGGGCCCAAATTTAAATTCTCTAAGGGAGAAGAAATTTAAAACCTCTAAGGGGGAGGTAAAAGTTTCTCTTGAGGCTGCAGGGTCTCAATTGCCTTCAGCTCAAAATGATCCACATGCCCAAGTGGCACATCTTGGGGAGGCCTGTCTGAAGCCTTTCAAAGCTATGTGACGATCTTCTGCTGTCTTGAATGTTTAATTATCCTCAAGCAGATAATTCATGATTTTCAGTATAAATGGCAAGAAATGCTACCAAGTGGTGGCTCTTATACTTGCAGATAAGAAGAAATCGAACAGTAGGAGAGAAGGGAGAAAAAGTCCAAGGCCAAGTGTATTGAGATCCTTCCCTCTGGCATCTGTGGCCCTTATACTACCCATCAGCCCCTCTCAGCAGCAACAGTAAAATTGTTAGGAAAAGTCAGCCCAGGTTAGAAACAATATTTCTAAATAAAGCAAACTGCTTCATGAATTGAAAACTAAAACAAACCATAACATTTTCCTAAACCTGAGCATTAATTTTAACTGAGGCATAGACCAAAGCAAAGTTACTTTTTCAAAAGCAAACAAAAATAAAACAGAACAAAACCCATGAATTAGCCCCCTCCCCAAAGAAACGAAAAAACACCAGTAATGAGTAGCAATCCAAACAACTACAAAACAAAATATTTTATTTGGAACTAGTGAACCAAAATAAAACTTTCTTACCTCTATAAAATTGCAAGCTTTTTGAGGATAAGTTTGAATCATTCATTCACTCATATGAGGGTATCTTCCAAAATGTATACACACTTGGAATAATTATAAAGGCAGTATTTATTAAAATACATTTCATTTTCAAAATGTAAGATCTGTCAGTTTTTAAAGTGTGCATACATTTTTGGGGGACACCCTGTATATGATATCATAAAAATATTTAGGATAGTGCTGGCTTTACTTTTTGTTTTCAATATTTACTTTTTGGATTGAACATGGCTAGAGTCCCTCTGTACTGAATCCTATTTCAAGAGAAATTATAATAAAAACTTCCAGCTATTTTCAATGCTTATATATTAATACTAGGTTCATTCAATGTGAATAAGATGTTGGGAGTGCTGGTACTGTGGCATTTATTGTAAATAAGTCAGGCAGTTCAAGCTTATGTTGTTTAAATTTAACAATTCAGTACTCAAAGTGCTTTTTTCTTTTCTCCAACCAGGAAGAATTCATGTTCCCTAACTAGAAAAAATTCATGTCCCTGCACTTTGACATAAACATTCACCCTTATGTTAAGCATAAAAGGCTTTTTCTTATTATAAACAGAAGAAATTTCCATATACCCTTTGTAAAATGTTATATATAAATGCTGGACTTGGGCACAGAGAACTTAATCAAAATCCCATGTTGCTTCAGGGTAGTTATATGTGAAATGCAATTTCCATTGTATTGAAATCTCCATCTAGTAAATATTTATCTATTTTTAAAATTGCCAACATATTTGAAAAGTTTAATTGGTTTACACTCAAGGCACTAGAGAAAGGGAAATTTGCTTTCAGAAGGCATTTACATGTATTTATTCTGTCCATGTAGAATACCTCTTTCAAGTGTTTGAGAATTTTAATGTGAAGATAACCCATCCCAGATTTGGTTCTAATGACCAAATTAGAAGAAAAGTAATCAATAATCAACCCATCACTTTGGTCACTGTACCTTTTTTCTCTGATTTATCGGAAACTTTTCCTCCAATTGGAGAGTAAGTAGTATCCATGGATTCGGTCCCTCTGTTCCCTTTGCTAACTCCATTTTCATAGAGCTGTCCTTCAACTGGTTGCAACTGCCAAGTCAGGCCGAACAAATGTACTGCTGCAAGAAAACAAGCCATACATGAACTTATTCCAGACTTGCTGAGAAGGTCTCTAAACCAGCTGTTCTTTTGAACCTAAAAATGTCATGATCAGTTTTCTTATAGTTATCCCGACCAACTTGGATTACATACCTACATCATACCTGTAGCCACTTTTCTAAGTAGCTATTGTTAAATTTTAAGGATTAGAAGTTGGATAGTATTTTTCTTATTATTATATTTGCTGATCCTCACACAAGGATATTTTTCCACTGATTTTTTTTTACACAGAGTGGACGGGAAGGAGAGAGAGAAGTAAAGAAGGAGGAGGGATAGAGAGAGGGAAGAAGAGAGAGAGAGAGAGAGAGAGAGAGAGAGAGAGAGAGAGAGAGAGAGAGAAACACATCGATTAGTTGCCGCCCTAACCGGGGCCAGGGATCTAACCTGTAATCCAGGTGTGTACCCTTGACTGGGAATAGAACTCATGACCCTTTGATGTGGGGGCTGACACTCTAACCACTGAGCACACAGCCAGGGCTTGATGGTAGTATTTTTTAAAATCGCCTTTTGGGAAGGCAATATAGCACCATTCAAAAAATATATCTTAGCCCAGCTAGTATGGCTCAGTGGTTGAGCGTTGACCTATGAACCAGGAAGTCACAGTTTGATTCCTAGTCAGGGCACATGTCCAGGTTGCTGGCTTGATCCCCAGGGGGGAGCATGCAGGAGGCAGCTGATCCATGATTCTCTCTCTCATCATTGATGTTTCTGTCTGTCTCCCTCTCACTTCCTCTCTGAAATCAATAAAAATATATTTAAAAAATATCTTAAAAACTTGGCTTACCTTTCTATCCAAGAATTTCTATGAATTAACTATGAATGTGTATCAAACTACAAAGCTATTTATTATAATATTTAAAAACCAGTACCATGTTAGGATCAATCTAAATGTTCATAAAAAAGACATTAATTAAATAACTGGTGATTATAAATAATGTAAGATTATATGGCTAGTAAATCATGTTGCAGAAGACTATGTAATGCCATGGTAAATGTTTATAATGCATCAAATGAAAACCATCAGGCTACTAAATAGTATGAATAGTGCAATCTATAGTGTGTGTGTGTGTGTGTGTGTGTGTGTGTGTGTTCATGTCTGGAAAAAAGGGCTGGGAGGATATATCCCAACATGATAACAGCATGAAGGGCTGGCTGATGGAGGGTTTTTATTATCTCCTTTATGATTTCTGTGTTATCTGTTTTTTTCTCCAATGAATATGTGTGATGTTTGTCATAGGGGGAAAAAGAAATTTTTGTTTTTAAAAGAAATGGATTAAAAGAATAATCGATTAAAATTGGCTGGGCCAATCACAAATGATATAATAATAGAACTTGAAGGATGTGTAGGGTTTTGACAGGAGACAACAATGGGAGGGGCAAGGGGGCAGGTTGTACAAAAAATGACTTTGAAAAGCACGAGATGTCTCTGAGGTAAAGGAAGTTGCTGGGGTTGAGTCTGAATTTAGCTATGTGTAGATGGTAGTGAAGTTAAGGCTGGAAGGATAGATTAGGGCTGTATTGTGGAGGACACTGAATGCCACACTAAAGATATTTGGATTCTATTTACTAGGAAACAGGCAGGCATTGCTATTTTCTGAACAGATGAGTGATACAATCAGTTTACTTTAGGAAGATTAATTTGATAACAATGGGGAGCACTGATGGTTTCTAGGCAAATAAATTATGTCATCAGAGCACCTTTTGTAGAAAGATAAATCCTGTAGTAGTGGGGAGAATGAATGTGAGGTCTAAAGATTTGACAACAACACAAATTGGGAAGGCATTACAATAATCAAGGTGATAAATGAGTGTCTCAAATAGAGCAATGGCAGTGCAAATGCAAAGAAGGTGATTCCTTAAGGAGAAATTACATGAATGTTATCTCAACATTTGGCAACAAGCTCTGCATCTGTGTTTATGTGTGTGTGTGTGTTCCTGCATGCTTATGTTTATGTGTAGGTGTGGGGGTAGGGCATAGAAAAAAGTGAGGGAAAGAAAGAAATCTAAAATGTTTAAGGTTTGGGGCCTGCATAACTGAAAGCATGGTAGAACCATTAATATAGTTAGGGAATTCCACACATAGCTGAGCACTAGCTAAAAATAGTAGTGGACATGTGCTTATTGACTGACAATTCGTTGATTTGGAGCAGGATGGGTGATGGGAGGAATACAATGAATTCATCTTTGGAGATTCTGAGTTCCAGGGATCGATGGGTTATCCAGATAGTCATGGTCAACACAGTTTTGGAGGCCTGAAGTTCTGGAGAAATATTAAGGCTAGAGCAAGACTGCAGAGTCATATATGCACAGAGGCAACAATTAAAGTTAATAGGGTGAATGAGGGAAGAGAATGTTAGGAGAAAATGGTGCCTAGGACAGAAGTTGGGGGAATCTTTTTGTTTGTTTTCTCATTGCAATTTTCAACATGAACCAAATATTACCTAAAGGAAAAAAGTGCATGTGTTCATAAGACATCTTATATATTTCTTTATGTGCTTAGGCAGAATGAAAGGTACTACTTTGTATAACTAGCACTCATATATAGTATGTGAATTAGCAATTGAGAACAGGAAAGCCAGCCAGATAGACTATTTAAAAATCATTCATCCAAGGAGGGGAAAATGGCAGCTGAATAGGCAGACCTGTCATGCACCTCATCCCAAGGCCAGACTGGGAATATAACTACATTGGAGAACATTCACCTGGAATTACCAACTGAGGTTCAGCTGAGGAGGAGACATATCAAGGAAGGACAGAAAACACCCAGAGACTGCACCTCCACAACAACTCACTTGACATGGCCAGGGGTGAGCCACATAGTCAGCCAGCCTGTGAGGAGATTCCATCCACGAATGGGAGAATAACATTCAAGACCCAACTACCACAGGAGAACCCATATAACTCAAGCAAGAGACTTTCCTAGAGCCCCGAGCTTAGGAGATCTAAGAAAATGCACCACTGGGTCCCACAAAACACTGACTACATAAGACCACCCCACAAAGTCTGGGAGGCATAGCAGTTTGATCTAATACATAGAAACAAATACAAAATGACAGAAATAAATGGAGAGACAAGAGACCCCCAAATGAAAGAAAAGGAGGAATCACCAGAAAAGGACTAAATGAAATGGAAGCAAGCAACCTGTCAGATAAAGAATTCAGAGTAATAGTAATAAGGGTGCTCAAAAATTAAGTGAGAACTATAAGCAACTTAATGAGAATTATAAGAAAATTAATGAGAATATTAAGGAACTTAATGAGGGCTACACCAATATGAAAAGAGAGGTTGAAAGAATAAATAAGAATCAAGTGGTAATGAGGAATGACATAGCTGAAGCAAAGAACACCTTGGAAGGATTCAAGAGTAGTCTAGAAGAAGATAGGGACCAAATCAGTTAATTAAAAGAAAGTAGAAAAAAACACACACACACCCATTTGGAGAGGCAAATGGAAAAAAATTAAAAGCACGAGGAGAGTTTAAGGGAACTTTGGAACAACATGAAATGTAACAACATTTGCATTGTAGGGGTACCAGAAGGAGAAAAATCCAAGCACAGAATAGAGAACCTAGTTGGAGAAATAATGACAGAAAATTTACGGTGAGGGAAAAAGTCACTTAAGTTCAGGAAATAGAGTTTCAGCCAAGGCGAACCACAAAATACCCACACCTAGGCACATAATGATTAAAATGGGAAACATTAAAGACAAAAAGAAAAGAATCTTAAAGGCTGCAAAAGAGAGACAGAAACTTACCTACAAGGGAGCCCCCATTAGACTATCAGCTGATTTCTCCATAGAAACACTTCAGGCCAGAAGGAAGTAGCATGAAGTATACAAAGTGATGAAAACCAAGTCACTGCACATAAGACCACTCTATCCAGCAAGGCTATCATTCAAAATGAAAGATGAAATAAAGAGCTTCTCAGACAAAAACAGGCTAAAATAATTTATTACCACCAAACCAGCACTCCAAGAAGTGCTAAAGGGACTGGAGTAAAAAGAAGACATAGAGAGAAAGAGAAGAAAACAGGCATAAAAAGTAAGAATGGCAGCAAATAAGTACCTATCAATAATAACCTCAAGTGTAAATGGCTTAAATGCTCCAATCAAAAGGCAAAGAGTAGCTGAATGGATAAGAAAACATGATCCATATATATGCTGTCTATAATAAACTCACCTCAGAACAAATGACTCACACAAAATGAAAGTGAAGGGATGAAACAAATTTTTTCAGGCAAATGGAAATGAAAAAAAAAAAAAGCTGGGGTAGCAATACTCATATCTGACAAAATAGACTTCAAAGTGAAAGCCATAATAAAAGACAATGAAGGCCACTTCATAATACTAAAGGTATTGATACAACAAGAGGATATAACTCTGGTAAACTTATAGGCGCCCAAAACAGGAGCATCCAAATACATAAAAAATCTGGAGGATTTTAAAGGAGGGATAGACAGCAATACAATCATAGCGACAGACTTCAACATCCCACTGACATCACTGGATAGATCTTCTAGACCAGTGGTTCTCAACCTTCCTAATGCCGTGAATGATCCTTTAAAACAGTTCCTCATGTTGTGGTGACCCCCAACCATAAAATTATTTTTGTTGCTACTTCCTAACTGTAATTTTGCTACTGTTATGAATCATAATGTAAATATCTGATATGCAGGATGTATTTTCATTGTTACAAATTGAACATAATTAAAGCATAGTGATTAATCACAAAAACAATATGTAATTATATATGTGTTTTCTGATGGTCTTAGGCGACCCCTGTGAAAGGGTCGTTCGACCCCTAAAGGGGTCGCGACCCACAGGTTGAGAACCTCTGTTCTAGAAAAAAAAAACTACAAGGAAATAGCAATCCTAAATGACTAGATTAGATGGAATTAATTGACATTTACAAAACATTTTACCCCAAAGCTAGAGTATACATTCTTCTCAAGTGCACATGGGAC